GAAGCGTTCACGTAGTTAAGTCCCAGTAATGGGACCAGGAGAGCTGGATTCTGTTTTTAATTTTGCCAAGGGTATAAAATAAGAGTTCAGACAATTTACGTCCCAAGTACAACATTCAGTACTGTAGCATTTGATTTTGAACAAGCTGCCACACCCTTAATATTGATGCCTAAGCTTCCTGTACAGTGAAGTCTCTCACGTTCTGATTTCGCTTGCACTCGCTTGGCTGCAAGAATGCCTGAAACAGGCCTGAGTCTTTCCTCAGTTACTGGGAAATCTCCACTATGTCTGTATCACCGAATTTTTTGAGCTGAAACAATGTGATCATTTCCCTGTTCAGTTTCACAACACACCTGCACAAAGAGCTGTGCCGGCCCATCAGGCCACAGGGGCAGGAACGGGTGACAGGACTATAATAAGCCAACATTGCCATGAATGAGCAAAAGGTAAGAAAAATCGGGGAGAAGAAAAAGCCAATCTGAGAAGTGCATCTCGAGCACACTCCTTCTTAGGAGTTAACCTCTGTTCTCCTGTACCATGGACCGTTTATAGGGGTTGAAACAGTGTTAATCAGCCTTTCCACGGCATAGTGATAATCTGCAGATCCTTCAACAGAAAGTAAACTACGTTCCCGAGCTGTGAGAAAGCCAGGTTCAAACCTCACACCTCTGTCTAAAAGGAACATCAAAATCATGTATTTAAATTGCCTGCAAAAGTCACAACCTTGACAACGGATGCACATGGACAAGCAGTTTTAGACTTTCCTGTTGCAGTGGTTTCAATGTATGCGAAACAGTAAAATACTAAGTTGTGCCAGTTATACCAATATTGACTCCAGTGACCTCGGCATCCCACTATTTCAAAAAGAAATGTTAAAATAGCTATAAAGGGTCAGACTAAAGTTCTTTTTAGACAGTAACTTTTGTCTTGTGAGTGAGCAATAGCAGAAAGCTACAAAAAAAAACCCCACAGAGCAAGATAGGGGCATCCTCTGAACACACCTCCAGCCATTAGCAACTTGTAAGTCAGAGACTTTGGAGCCAAGTTGTGTCTGCATGTTTATTCTTAAATATATTTTCCTCCATGAAGTATTTCCTTCAATTGTAACAAACGTATGTTCAAAATACCTTGTCTGCCTCTTTTTTTGAGCTCATGTAAATCTGTTGTGTCTGTAATACCCTCTAGCAAGCATACTGAAGCAGGGCTTTAGTGAAGCATTTATACAATGCACAAGTTTCATCAGAAGCGAGTAAAAATATCAGAATAAATAAATATACTCAAGTTATATAAACCAAATAAAATGAACAGAATAAGTGTAACCTGGATGCTAGAGCAGTCTCCTATTCATCAGTGGACTAACTAAATCTGTGCATCCAAGTATTTTATGCGCTTTCAGAGCTAGACAGCCATTAGAGAGCACTTGAGGAGCCTCATAACGAAATCAGACATACAGCAGATGTCGGGTGTCTTTTCTGAGGGTTTAGTCCTTTGTGCCTCACCTTCCACATCTGCCATAGTTTCCTGCTTCAGAGGAGTGTTGTAAGCCTCCACTAAGCACCGTCCACCACATAACTTTAAATTTAAATTCAGTAAAAACATTCACACACATAAAAAGGCACGCCTACCAAAGTTTTTGCAAGACCAGAGGTTTAGTCAGTGGTCAGAATTTTGAAACCTGGGGTGGAGAACACCACAGATGCGCAAAACACGTATTTTTAATAAGTTACCTCAAAAGCACTTAACATAAAACCAGAATCACTTTAGTTTCTTCACTTTCACATTCCTGGTACAAAAGGATGACAGCATGCAAACAAACTTACAGCAAAAATAAACAAACACCCCCCCAGCTGGGGAATGTCTTTTCCTTCCCTTTTTTTTTTTTTTTTTT